AGAGTCACTCATCATCAGTGAAAATAATTAGTTCTTTTCAAGGGTGTTGCCTTGCCTGTGGTAGATGGAAATGCATGGTGTCTGGGCTACGTATGTCGGAGTTTAGATTTGTAGTGCTTTCTCAGTGTAGTGTTGTAGCTCTGTACCTCGTCTTTCAAAATGAACTTGGACTCTGTGGACTCTGACTTGGTCAGTAAATGGCATGGCTTTCTCATTCTGAAGGAATTATGGTGTTTAAGTATTTTAGAAATGGGAGCTGTTCTGAAACAGATTATTTGATATATAAGGGAGAAGTAGCTCTCCAACTTCTCACTTGTCTTCCATTTTCATCCTGATAAGGTTTGAATAGAGTGTGTTGGTCCCTTATTGGCTAATACTGTGCTCTTGCCACTTTTTCCATGGATACCTGCTTTCATGAGCATAAAATGTAAGAGAGATTCTGGTGAGTTAGCTTCTGTACAGGCACACTTATGCTTTTTAGAAGAATATCAGGAACCTGACTGGGTATTGTAGGCATTCCCAGCACTTGCTTAGGCAGGGAATAGCCTTTAACATTTACGAAGAAAAAAGAGCTACACTTTAGGACAATAGATTTTGAATCTGAATCTCTTTAATATGCAAAATAAGAATAGTATTTAAATTGAATTTGTAAAAAGCCCCAAAAACAAGTCCTTTGCCCAAAAGGGAGAACTTAGTGGGCATTATAATGTGAAAATATGGATATTGACTAAGTCTATCAAAGCATAATGAGAGAAGCTTTTGTAGAGGTTTTCCTAGCCAGACTGAAATCAGCAATATTCAGATTTTGTGTGATAAACCTCATTTTTGTGGGATTAGCAGTTCAATTTTCTGACCAAGGAGCTGTAGATAAAGTCATGCGATTACTGAATAAATATACAAAGCTTATCTGACTGAATTTCCACACTTCCAATCTTAGAGTCAAATTTTTTGGCAAGGCTGTTCAGCTATGGAAGCCTTGTATGAGGCATTTTAACTTCAAGAAAGCAGAGCAAATTACAGGGGAGCACAGCCATCACCAGCTAACTGATAGCATCTGCCATTTCCACTTCCCTGATAACTTACAAGACTTCTCAGCAGTAATGTAACTAGTGGTGGGTGACTGGGCACAAGCCTCAAGTGCTGAGTTAAAGCGGGCACTGGTGATGCTCAGGAAAGGAAAGTGCATCACTTTAGGAGGGGTTGGAAGTAGAAGCAATCCTTGGAGAGACATGTGGGGGTTGTGGCAGCATTCAGACAGGGTATACTGCCAAATCCAAATGTGGCCAAGTCCTGGTAGCAACGGGATTCAGCAGCACAGGGCAATAAGGGTGGCTGCTGGGGAGACGAGGGGGATCAGCACTGCCAGCACACTCCCTTACATTTCCCGAAGGACTATTAGGCTTTACGTCCAGGGTACAGCTCTTACTAGTTATACCTCTGCTTCTCCAGTTGGGGCTTTCGCTCTTAAATACCATCCGTGTGCTGGATAAGATGTTGATTTTATTCTTGTATTTACAACAAGTGTTGTTAATGGGCTTTTATGGAGTATTAGTTTAGGACCGTTGATGCATAAGACCTTATTTTGTTTCAGTGACAATTTAACATTATGCTCATTTAAATAATAAACCCCTTAATTCAGTGACTATCCTTGGATATATGTTATGAATAGCCTTTCATCCAAACCACAGTTTAATCAACCTTAATCTTGGTTTAATCAAGCCAAGTATTGTGACCCACATTTAAGGCAATCATATATTACCATACAAAATGGCTTAATTTTTCATTCAGATTTATGATACTTGCAAAACAATATTATTTTATCTTTAGTGAGCTGGCATCTTGAAAGTAGCCAGGTTCTCCTTTTAGCCTGAAATGATTAGGCTAACAGCCAGCTATTGGAACTTTAAATTCCTTGCAATTGATATATATAGTTCATAATACCATTTCGTGTGTGTGTGTGTGTGTGTGTGTATGTATATTATAGACTTTTTTTCTGAAGGCTATATTTTGTGCTGATACTTGCGGGCAACTTTGAAACACTCTTGTTTCACATTGTACACACCATTATATATCACTCAGTTACTTCAGTTGCTTCGCTAGCTGCAAATAAAGTTAGCCTGTAACTGTGAGTCCATCTGTCTACTTCTCATGTCACCTGCAGCCATCTGAAGAACAAGGCTCTTATATCCAGACATCAAGTTGCCTGTCAAGGTGAATAAATGGTATTATGAACTCAAATTAATCAGAATGGTAAAGCAATAGCATATTTCTAGGGTCACAGGCAGGATATTTAATCATCTGGCAAAGAGTAAACAACCCATTATTGCCTCTTTAATATCTCCTTCCCAACATGTACCTGTTTGACATTTTTGACTGGCTTTCCATCTCTTCCTCACAAGCTCTCCAGAGTCTCATTTCATCTCTTTCCAGCTACACTCCCCTCACAAAAGACCAGCAGAATCTCCCTATGCCTGAAGAAGGGTGTTTGTGCCCAAAAGCTTGCAAAGAACAACTTTCCCAATCATTTAGTTGGTCTAATAAAAGATATCACATCTACCCAAAGCAGTCATACTAAATAACAGGCTTAAGGTCTGACATTTCATGGACCATAAGAAATAGATATGTGAGTCTGGAGAGTGTAGTGCTACAGGTTTTTTAGCAATATGCAGCATATGTCTAGCTCTGGAAGGTCCTTAAATCTGAATTATAGACTTATTTCATTCTGATTACCATCTTGTTCATTTAACCCTATTTCTTATTCAGATGAATTCTTAGGAGGGATTGTTGTGAGGATAGGCGATATTAGAAACAACAGAATCAGTTGGGTACAAGGAGCTTCAGTTTTCAAATGGCATTAGGACAATATATCCTCTTCCACTTCTGCAAACAAATGGGAGCTAAATCAAGCAAGGGGAGGCCAGAGCCTGATAATGATGGTGAATACTAATTTTGTGTCAAGTTCTCCCTATATGCTGCTGCTGCTACCACTGTTACTACTTTTTCCCCAAACCGCTGACAAAGAATTTGCTGGAGCACTGAGTTTGGTTTCCCTAGCTGTTTTGCTAGCAAGGATAGAAACGTAGTAGTGAAGTCAGAGAATTGCTGATCGGTATGGCATACTCTTTTGGCTGAACCCATGGATTTCCCATGGGTATCCCTAGGGGAAAAAATCAAAGGCATTCCTGGTTCTGCAGAATTAATAGGCTAGTGTGTTACAAGGCAACATATCAGGATGCATCTTTGCAAGTCCTTCAGGAGTTATGTTGCCTGGGGGAGGATAGTCATCAGGACTGCTGCGTTAGGGATCTGTGGAACATTCTCGGCATACCCGTTGGTTTTAGGAGGAAGTCCTGGACAGTTGCATAGAACATGAGCAGGGCATTCCATGAATGAAACTCCTTTCTCTTGCTTGCTGTAAAATGTAGCCCAAATTTATTTGTGTAATATTGGATAATATCTTAATGAGGTATGGGAATGAGCCCTGGGAATCTGATACTTCCCCTTTCCCATGGTCTGAAAGCCTTAATTTTGGGAACTTCTCAACGAGTTGCAAGGAAGAATAAAGTTTGATAGGGGTTTAGTTTTGTGGAAATGTTGAGACTATGTTCTTGGAGTAGCTGGTGGATAGACAGCAACCTTTTTAACAGAATAAGTTGAGTTAATCTATTTCTGTCCATTTTTTAAATCTTCTGGGTTTATTTCATAGTCTTAAAAGTAATTGATGGGATGTCTGCTACTCATATTTATAATTTTTTTGTTTTATTTAAATCTAAAGACAAAAAATAAAATAAAATACCATGTTACCAGAACAGAAATAGGAGGGTAAAAAGATGAGCAGCTAACCAGAAACACCTGATTTGAAAGTCAAGGGATCACTTCATTTACTAGCATACATTTTTTCTATTTTGTTAGACTACTGGCTGTTATTTTTTCTGTAGCTCTGCGAATGAAGCCTGAGAGGCTGGCAAATGGATGTGCAGTTGCTGTTTTCTGACACCAAAATGCATAGGAATTAGTCATAGAGAAGTAGGGCTTCTCCTGAGGGCTTCTAGTCCAACCCCCTGCCTGAGGCAGGATCATCCCTCTCCAAACTGTCACATATAACCATGTTCTAAAAAAACTCTACCTAAGACTACCCTCAGTCCTGACGCACGCAGACCTAACACCCTAACCTGCCACAGGTGAAGCAGGGGAGCCAGGGCACCAACAACATCCTGCTTCTGTGAAATCTCAATCTGTGCTCGAGAGGTCCCAGATACTCCTAGGAGCCATTTGAATCCCCTTCTTGCTGCTGTCATACAACTTGTTCTGGTCAAACGTTGTGCGCTTTGGAGCCAGTGGGAGCTCTACAGCTGGGTCGGCAACCCCTAGCACACGTGCCAGAGCGTGGCCCGCAAAGGTGTTTTGCTTGGCACGTGCACCTTGAGGTGGGCGGTGGGAAAGGGGCTGGGGCTGTGTGGCCACAACAGGGATCCAGACCCCTTTTGGCTCTGCTGCCATCTGCTCCTGGCACGCCAACATCTTCCAAGTCAAGGTTGCAGGGGTTTTTGGCACTCCGCCCCAAAATGTTGCCACCCCCTGCTCTAGGGGAAGAGGTCCCTTTTCATTTGGATGTGCATGTCCGCACAGGGTGCAATCTTGGCCCAGCTCTCCTGGGCTCCCTAAACTAGTTGTACTGGTGGGTCTCCCTGCCTCCACGGCCCCAGCGCCTGCTCATTTTGCTGGGCCAGTTACCGGGTTTTCACAGGACCCGGGTGCCAGGGCCGGGTTTTCTTCGGCCCTCCGTCAAGGGCTGGAGTCGGTGCAAGGGGCACGGGCAAGCCCGCGGAGCCGGAGCGGGAGCTCCAGCAGGAGCCCGAGCAGCGGGGCCTGCACAGACCCGCTCGGGAAGGGCGGGGGCGCCGGAGGGGCAGGCAGAACCCGCGCCACGCCTGGGGGAGGCGCGCAGGCGGGGTGGGACCGGAGCCATCGAGGACCCTCCCGCCTCGCCGGGCAAGCCATAAAAAACCCGGGCGAGGCGCGGCGGTGTACACAGCAGCTCCGAGCCACGGGCGAGAGGCTGCAGGAGGAGCGAGAGCCCGGCTGCCCGACAGCAACGTGAGTACGGGCGGCCCCGAGCAGCCCGCCCTGCCAGAGCCTCCGCTCCCCTGTCCCGGGGCGCGGGAAGGACTTGTCC